AAACCCTAAACCCTAAACCCTAAACCCTAAGGGCTGAACCTGGGGGCCGGCCCGCCTGGCTTTTGAACGCGCTGCACGCCCACTCCGCAGAGGCGGCACAGGGACTCGCCAAGCCATCCACGCCCATACAATAAACCCTAAACCCTAAACCCTAGACCCTGGAAAGGTTTTAAAGGGCGGCTGGGCTCTCAGTAGTTTTGACTGGGAGTTCTACTCACAGCTAATTTGTAAACCCTAGCTTTTCCTAAACCCTACCCTTTCGAACCCCAGCACAACCCTAAACCCTAGGCCCTCTAAACCGTATCCTTCTTCTAAACCCTAGGTTCTCTAAACTCTAACACCGCGTAAACCCTAGGCCCTCTAAATCCTATCTCTCTCCTAAACCCTAGGCCCTCTAAACCCTGTGTTTCACTAAACCCTAGGTCCTTTAAACCCTATCACTTTCTAAATCCTAGGTCTAAACCCTATCCTTTTCCTAAACCCTAGGACCTTTAAACCCTAGCATTTTCTTAACCCTAGGCCGTCTAAACCCTACCCTTCTCCTAAACCCTTGGACCTCTAAACCCTACCCTTCTCCTAAACCCTAGACCCTCTAAACCCTATCATTTTCCTAAACCCTAGAACCCTAGAAACTCCTAAACCCTAGGTCCTCTAAACCCTATCCTCCTCCTAAACCCTAGGCCCTCTAAACCCTAACATCTTCTAAACCCTAGGCCCTCTAAACCCTATCCTCCTCCTAAACCCTAGGCCCTCTAAACCCTAACATCTCCTAAACCCTAGGCCCTCTAAACCCTATCCTCCTCCTAAGCCCTAGGACCTGGAAACCCTAACATTTCCTAAACCCTAGAACCCGTAAACCCTAACACGTCCTAAACCCTGGACCCTTTAAACCCTAACATCTCCTAAACCCTAGGCACTCTAAACGCTAGCATCTCCTAAACCCTAGACCCTCCTAACCCTAAACCCTAGGCCCTCTAAACCTTAGCCCGCTTCAAACCCTAGCTGGGCCCTTCTCTAACTGCCGCACCCCAGGCCCAAACCCCCAACAGCGCTTCTGCCTTGAGGGTTTAGGGTTTAGGGTTTGGCATGAAGGAACAGCCCAATGCCAGACCCTCATCTGCTGCAAAGCCGTAACTCCCCGAAATCCATAGCCGTTTAGGGTTTAGGGTTTAGGTTTAGGGTTTGGGGCTCGGGCGTCTTTTCAATGCAGGGTTTAGGGTTTAGGGTTTTTGCCTGTCGTTGTTCTCAGGTACTGCCGGGCGAAGCAATTCACAGGACAATACGGAGCCGCGCAGTGTCAGTCTAAACCCTAAACCCTAAACCCTAAACCCTAGAGCCCAAACCTTAAACCCTAAACCCTCACTCCCACGCGACCGCGTTGAACTACATCTCGAGCATCGTCTCGAACCCCTGTTTCTTCGGGAGCCTTCTGGCGCTCCCGGAGCGCTGCAAGCGCCTAGGGTTTAGGGTTTAGGGTTTAGGGTTTGTGCGTTAGGCCCGAGCGTGTTTTCGTTTCCTGCGGAGCTGCAAGCCGCTTATCGGTGGCGAATAACTCCAGTGAAAGTGGCGAAAAAAAAAGGGTATTTAGATGAGCACATTTGCGTGGTGGAGAAGGTCCCTGGGGTTTTGCCAGTAGCAGCAGATGCTGCTGCTGCTGCTGCTGCTGCTGCTGCTGCAGCAGCCAGCACCGACCGCACTCTCCTCTGGGCCACACTCGCAGCCTTGCTGCTGCTGCTGCTCGCCGCCACCGCCTTCTGCGTGGCCCGCAGGAAGTAGCTGCTGCAGCAGCAGCAGCAGCAGCAGCAGCAGCAGCATCTGCTGCTACTGGCAAAACCCCAGGGACCTTCTCGACCACGCAAATGTGCTCATCTAAATACCCTTTTTTCTTCGCGCTGCAGCAGCAGAGGCAGC